GGGTAATAAATGAGGGGCGCTTTCAGATAGGTATCTCAGACGTGAAATTGCGCCCAGCTGGTTGTGTAAGCAAACAAATCGCCCCCGTGTTCCAGGCTCTCGACTTGTGGCGGTGATGAATGCCAGAGGTAAATGGCTCTTTAACTCGTTTAGGAATAAAAAAACTCTTTTGGCTTCCCGAGTCAAAGCGCTCGGAAACGGCGTGGATCCGGCGCGAGGTTGTTGGGTTTTTTGTTTTGCTTTGTTTTGAACAAGAGTTTTATTGGCGTCTACTTGTGTCTGGCCCCCTTGCGTCTTTCTTCTGCCCCCCCCCCCCCCCAGCACCTCAGGGAGCTCTCGTCAAAACGCGGACTGGTTAGGAAGCCCCGGCAGGCCCGCGAAGCAGCCGCTCGCTCCCGGCAACCTAGAAGGCCGTGGCAAAGTCGTTAGGCTGACCGTTCGCCTTTTCCCTTGGAAACCCATTAGAAAAGATGGACCTGTTTTCTTTCTCCACGCTATTTTCCTAGCGGACGGTGTGTGTGCCTTCTTGGGGGAAAAAAAGAGCTCAATTTGTTGACATCCAGGCTAATGACCCGGGTGGAGAGGGGAGATGCAGAATACATTCCATTCTTTTTTCATCTCTTCTCCCTCTTTGGGTTAAGGATTGAAAATAAGTCCATTGCAAAAACCTGGGAGTCAGAGAGAACACGAAGTGGTTGGGGAATATATATTGACTCCTCTTTCTGTGGAGAGTTAAAGACTACCTTAAGAAGACCAGACATCCCATTCTGACCTGAAGACCAGACACAAAACTAACTGCAACCCAAATCCTGTCCTTGGAGGAACCCTGGGGTCGGGGTCTTTTTTGTCCAGGCTTGTGATGGGGCGACTCGGTTTATGGGTCAGTTCTTCTGGGGTTCTTAAAATGGGAGGTGTTAACCTAAGTAATACAAAAAAATTCAGATGAAGGGATACTTTTAAACTCCTATTTTTAAAAATCCCAGTTTAAGCTTTTCCAGTTAACTGCAGAGAAATGTAAAACTCTCATTCTCTGCAAACATTTTATCTGCAAGGAAAAATCATTTGACTTGAAGGTTAAATTCTATATTTAAAAAAAAAAATCATATGCTGACTAGAGTTACTTCATGATGATGGGATGTAAAAGGAAGCAGGCTAACTAAATTTCTTTTAATAGCATGAAGAAAAGTCTTTAGCTTGGAACTTTTTATAGATGTTTTCTTTGGTATATTGCCACTACTTTTTACATGGAGACTGTCCAAAATACACTTGCCCATTGCCTCTTTTAAGCATGAGCCAATAGTCCCCCTTTTCTCTTCCTTTTATTCTTCAGTCTCCCCCACTCCCCCAGCTTCTAGTTTCTTACAAAAATAAATCTGCTTTCTTTGGTTTATTAAAAAAAAGACCACAGATAATTCTCATATAGCAATTATGGGAACCCAGGCACGTCGTCTCAATTTTAAAAAAAAGCAACAACTAAATTGGTTGTGGCTGAATTCCACTCATCATCCAAAGGCCTACAAACAAATTAAACCCAATTGATGATTGGGAATACACCAAATGTTCATCAATCTTGGTAGCACCCATTCCCCTAATTTTCTCCCAAAATCAGTTTACCCCTTCCTGGTTCCTTCTGAGATCTTGGGTCAATATTCCCATTACCACAACTAACAAAGACGGCTGCCCCTGTTGACATGAGATGCTGGGATGTGTAGTCAATAAGATCCACAGGCACCAACCACCTGGTTGAAAGAAGGGTGGTTCCTTTCCTTTAAGCACTTCCAGTGTTCGTCTGTCAACAAAATGCTAAAGGTTTTTTTTTTTTCTCCTTAGAAAGATGTAACCCTTTTTCTCATGAAGGGTGGGGACCTCTAATGCTTTTCCTTGAATACAGCAACAAATGAGCTTGTAGTGAGCACAGTGCAAAAGGTGCTATTTTAGAGACGGCTTTAAATTTCAGAGATTTGGAGAAAAAAAAACAGAGCTGTGTGCTTAAAGCCATAATTTCACTTTGCAATATGACACACACACACACACAGAGACAACATCCCTTATCAAAGTTCTTGAAATTCCCACGACTCATTTCAAAACATCCCAAAGTTTGGCTGTCTAGAAAAAGCTAGATTGAAATCAAAGAGCAGGAAGTCTGTTTGGGAAGAGGGTCTCTGTCACTGCACTAAAGATGAAGTCAAGGCCACAGAACTGCAGCCTAAGTGGCATCCTGGCTTCAAGTGCAAATCAAGGTTTATTTGGCAACCTCGCCCACTTCCACAGAGATCAGGATATACTTTGCGGGGTTTATTTATTTTGTTCATTGTTACTGCTAGTCTCCATACTACCCACAGCACTTAGATAACCTTGGAAGATAGCTCTGGTTTCTAAAACATTTTTTCCTCTCTTTTTTTCTTTTCTTTTGGCATGGCTAAAGATGTTATGTTGTATGAGTAGAAGCAAAAGGCTTTTTTTTTTTTAAATTAAGGCAGCTGGCCAGCTGAGATTCTGTGCACCTTATTGGCCCAATGTTTTCCAACAAGCATCCCTTGATTTCTCCCTCCCTTCTTAAAACAAACTGGGAAGGAAGGCCACATCCCAAGTATTACAGCATTGGGAATAAAAAAGAAAAGCTGGTTGTGATAGCCTCAGCCCTGTAAAACCGAGGCTTTTCTCCACACCTCATCAAGACTTTTTCATTCCTTCCAGTTTTTAGAACATTTATTCATATTATGGATCTTGAAAAATGAGTTAGGGTGGGAAGGAAGAAAAAAAAATGACCTGAGAAATCATAGCCTGGTTTTATGAACTGGAATCCATCTTACAATTCTTAAGAATGCTTTGGGGTTTTCTCAAGGACCTTCAGGCCACCAAGGGCTAGATAGTGAAGGTCAATCAAAGACACATACAGAATATATTAAAGTGTCTGATTCTAAAGGTAGTCTGGTCTGACGCTGCTGCAAAAATTAGAAGGACGTGGCCAGTTCAGTTTTAGGCAGCACTGAACCAAATGAAAGCCAAGCTACCCTCTTCTTCCTGACAAGGACTAGTCTTTCAGACCAGGGGATGATGGCAGCGATTATACAGCTCTCCTCCTGGAAATTCGAGCCCATTCGCTCAGTCTCCTAGGATCTCTTGCATTTGGAATATTGAAGGAAGGAAGGAAGGAAGGGAAGGAGGGAGGGAAGGAAGTCAAGTAAGTTAGGCTGGAAAAAGCTTGTTAAGGAAAACAAAAAGATGCAGGAATGCAGGCAGCCAATTAATTGGGGAGAAACTTGGCATCAATTTCTATAGCTGAAACTCCTGCCTTATCTCGAACCCTTCCTAGTTTGGAGGACTAGGAGGAGAAGCTGAGAGAGAGGATGTGGGGGGGTGGGGGAGACTTGCAAGGAATGTTATTTTTAAAGATCCGGCTTTATTAATACGTTAAGAAAGAGCTCCCTTGGCAGCCTGGGTTCTTAGAGCTCCATCTCAGATCCTATAAAACATTAATGCGCTGAAAGCTGTTACTGGGATTGGCAGAGACCCTCTGCAAGCCCTGGGAAAGTTGTTGTCTTCAAAAGGGGTTCTTGGAGCTGAGAATCTGCTGATGCACTTGAAGGGAGGGAGGGGTTGGGTGGGGGAGAAAGGAAGGTGGGTGGGAGATGGAGCTTTCACTCCTCTGTGTTCAAACGAAGGAGAAGCCTCAAGGAGACTCCTCAGTGGTCCCCACCGCCACCGCCACCCCAGGAAGGACACAGGCCTGTCCTTGGGTCTGAACAGACCACCAGACATCTCTATCTACAACTAGCTCTCTTTTGCTCTCATACACCCTTCTGAAGACCAGATCACCTGGGAATCCTTCTCTGAAAGGATCCAGAAACCTGAAGTCACACTAACTGATATTGGGGTGTACATGTGTGAGGGAGTTCAGGACCCATAAAAAAATATTTAACCCTCCCACCATCCGTCACATAGAGTATTCCCATTTCCCTGGATTATGCACACAGAAGGGCTGAAAGCCACCAGCAGGCTATTAAAGGGATTCTCCAACTTTTTATGTACTGTCAGCTTCAGTCACAACCCTTGTTACATCCAACCAATGGGGCCTAGAGGCAGAGGCACCTTTCTAGACACCAGGTTCAACCTGTTATCCCCCATTCCCGCCTCTTGAAACTCTTTGCGGATCCTGCAAAACCAAGGATTGGTGAGGGGGAGAGAAAGAAGGACCCCCGGCTCTACAGACAACCAAGTGGGGAGGGGGACTTCGAAGAGCACAGATTTGGGGGAGGGCAGCGGGGGATTCCCGGTCCTTCAGGGTGTTCTTGCCTTTTGTTTCTTTTTGCTAAATTCTTTTATTTTCGCTTAAATTCTCACTTCAATTTTTAATTCTTGAAGAACAGCTTCAACAACATATATCGCACTCATTATAAGAAGCAAAGGGTTATATCAAAAATTATTAGTATAGAATCACAGGAAGCCTGGTTTGGAACCAGAAAAAAAAAAAAATACAAAACAGATATAGATACATACACACAGAACAATTCCTTGTTTTTTTTAATAATTATTTGGAAAAACGTTATTTTCCCCCTCCCTAAATTTTTGTTTCTTGTGTTGGTTTTTCTTCTCTCCTTTATGCGCATAACGATGTTTTAAATTTTACAAAAAACGTGAAAATAAAGACTAATATTTTACAAAATGAAGATCAATGTTCGCGGTCAGTGTTTCCCTCCCGTTTCCCCCTCCCCCTCGGTCAGTCCGGCTTCAGTTTCGTTTCTTAAAACCGTGTTTGCTATACAGTTGATCACCCTTTCGGTCCGCGATCAATGCAGGGAAATCCGTCTAAATCCTCTTCCTCTTTCCTCTCTTTCTCGGAGGGCGGGTGGGCGGGCAGTATTATAGTGAGAAAAACAAAAACAAAATCCCTTCGGTCTTTGCTATTTTTTTTGTTCCTTCGTTTGTTAAAAGTCTCCCACCTCGGGGGTCGCCGTTGGTTCCACGCAGGCGAGCTGCCCCGCGTTTTGGCCGCCGCCGCCGCCGCCGCCGGGCCGGAGTTGCCAGCTTCCGCCAGTCTTTTCCTTCCAGACGAGGTTTCCGGGCTCCCGGCCTTGGGGGAGCGGGGCGTTTTTGTGGGTCCCTTTCTTTGCTCTCGCTCTTTCCTCGGACCCTTCCCCCCCCCTCTGGCCGCCCAGCCGCGAGGCCCGTGGGCGGGTGGCTAAGCGGGGAGGGGGGCGGCAGGGGCTGCTCTAGGAACACTGGATCGACATGTAAGGCCAGTTGAAGCTGCTGCCGGAGAGCAGCATGTCTCGGATGAGCGTCTCGATGGGGGTTTTACCTACCAAGCGGACGAAGAAGAGCTGCTCGATGACCGACGAGGAGACGGTGCGCAGGGAAGGCAGCCGGAGGAGCAGCTTGCCGAAGCGGCTGGGCTGGTTGGGGTACTGGCTGCGCACGTATTCCTCCAGGGCGCACTGCGATTTCTCCTGCAGGCTCTCGATGTGCGCCGCGTCCGACAGGCCACAGGCATCTGTCCGGCCACCAGGAGAAGCAACGCGGGCGGGAGGGAGAGAGAGAGAGCAGGGCAAGAGGGTTAGCGAAGGCTGGCCATCCCACCCCCGTCCTCTCCCGACCGTGACCCAGGAGAGCCCCCCCCACCCGCCGTTGCCTTGCACGGGCTCCCTCTTCATCTGACTGGCGTCTCTATTTTTTTTAAAGGGGGGCGGGGGGGGGGGGGGGGGGAAGAACCGGACCGACCCTTCTCGGCCCGGCAGCCACGCGGCTGCAGTCGCCAGGAAGGGCCCAGGCCTCGCTTCCTTCCCTGAGTTGCATCCTATTGTTAGCCGGTGGACACGCGCACTTGCGGGGAGAGAGAGATGGAGGGGGGGGGGGGGGGGGCCGGCTGGGGGGGGGGGGGGGGGGGGGGGGGGGGGGGGGGGGGAGGACCCCCCGGGGGGCGGGCCGCGAGGGACGCCCCCCCCCCCCCGCGCGCCTTCCGGTGCACCCTCCACTCTCGGGAAAGGCTCCGGGTGGGCTGAGCGGGGCCAGAGGCTGCGCATGCAGGCGAGAAAGCCGAAGCAGGCTAGGCTAAGGATCGGAGCGGATCGCTCGCACGAAAGGCGGCCGCCTCCATTTCCGGGAGGGGAGGGGCGCGAGGAAGGCTGAGAGAGAGAGAGAGAGAGAGAGAAGGCGAGGGAGACTAGCAGCGCGCTCGCTTTGTCTCTGGCGCTAGAGACGCTGGAGTCAGGGAAATTTTGGTCGCCTCTCTAGAAGCCGGATCATCATTGCCGGGAAAATGGCTCGGCTCCCTGGCCTCCTCCTCCTCCTCCCCCCACCCCGCTCCCCCCGCCTTGCGCTTCGAGGGGCTTCTTCTGCAGCTGCTCTCGCTCGCCTTCACAAAGCTGCGCCGCCTGCCTGGCCCGAGCTGGGAGGCTGCATCTCTAGCCGAGCAAGGAGGCCTCCAGAAAGACGGGAAAGTGCCTAGCACCGATTTTCTTTCGGAGGGGAAGGGGACGCATTGCCCGGAGCCGGGAAACTGCAGAAGAGGAACCCAACCCTTCCCATAATTGATTTTCTCCCTCTCCCTCCCTCCCTCCTTTCTTCCTCGTAGGGTTAAAAACGAGAGGGCCGAGGTATCAAGCCACCCTTCTAGTAGTTTCCCCACTGTTTCTATTATTCTTATTATTGTTCTTGTTTTAAAAACAGGTAACAGGTACGGGGAGGAGGAAAAAAAAAACCCCAAAGAGCCCAAGGAAAAGAAGCGAGGGAGGGAAGAAGCCACCTGCGCATAAGCCGCGGGTGCTTCAGGCAGGGAAGCGGGGAGCCGCTGTCGTGTGCCTTGTTCAGATTCGCAACTTGTTTTCTTCTATCAATAATAAATATTTCAAAACATCATGATCACAAGGCAGCCGTCAACTAGCAGGGCGGTTTAGCGGAGATCAAAGCAGCTTTTGAGATGGATGTGCTTGTGTGCATGTGCGCCCCCCCCCACCCCCGTGTGGGAAGTGTCTCTCTCTGTGTGTGTGTATGTATGTATGAATGTAATAATCTGGGGGGAGGGTCCTCCTAAGCGGAGCTTAAAAATCTAACACCTTAGAAAAAGGCAATGAAAAATTATTTGCACTATTCTTTCTGAGCTGTTGTTTTAGCTGGCATTGCGTATTAGTTTTGTGGCAAGGGATCTCCCGTTTTTCAGGCTATCGGGGCTATCAAAAGATTGCCAGACACCTTCATGCCCACGCTTCTGGCCTCAAGCGAAAATAGAAATAAACCAAGCTATAATTCAAACGCTTCTGAGAAAAGACCTTGCTGACCCCAGCTACAGACTAAGGAGCGCTTAGATGTACAATTACGCACGCCCGACTGTTGTGCTAATCCATGCTTTTGCCTTAAATGCAGTGATCATTTGCAACATCTAAAATCAGGGGAGGAGGTGCAGGGAGAAAAAAGAGAGTGAAAATGTGTATGTATGAGAGAGGGAGAGAGGGAGAGGGAGAGAGAGAGAGAGAGAGGGGAAAGGGGGGGGAGGGAGATTGCAATGCACAGACGTCATGCAACAGAGACCTGCCCTTATTTGTGGTCCATTATAGTGAAGAGTCACTATCTTCTTTAGCTGTGACTAAGAGATCTTCCTCCTCTTACACCCTCTAGCTTCTACTCCCCCGTTTGCCACATTGCCCTTTTCCACCAGGGTCTTCAGGCAACTTCTAAATAAGGCAGGATGAAAGGGTCTAGTTGCCTCAGCACATCTCTTTGCAGGCTCCCTGCCCTATTCTCTGGATTGGTGAAATATTTATTTCTGCTTCTGCTTTCTCCAGCTTGAGGCCACCACTGGGATTGTGAGAAAAGAGCATCGACAAAGCTCCCCTCCCCTTCTCCTTAATATATCCAACAGATGCTTAATAAATCATATCTTCTTCTGCTATTCCCCCCCCCCTTCTTTTTTCAAGCTGTACTCCTACCTAGCACATGAGGCTTTGAATGTACTTGGCACTCAAGGTAATTCTCCCGTCCCCAGCAAACATGTCTGGATCTTTTTGACCAGACAATCTGAAAATTAATTAAACAATCTGTGCTATCTGATCTATCCGCTGATTGAGTTGAGATGAAAATAGTAGACCAAAGAATGCGAGTGATGTATATTCTATTCTTCTTCTTTAGCTTACTTCTTTGCAGAGAGAAAAGAGAAGAGAGGAGGAGGAGGACTAGGAAGGCAGGAGGTTGGTGGACATAGAAACTGTGTTTCTCTCACTTTTTCAAGAGGTTATAATTTCTCCTGCAGTCACTATTTCTTGGTGTTTTCCTTTCCAAGCAATGGCAGCGAAATATATACATAAATATAAATGACTACATAGCAGATGCCAATCAGATTTTGTTATTAGATGGAGCATATTTTATCTAATGCACCTAGGACCGTTAGGTGCTAAAAAAAAATACTATTCATAACTGAGAAAATGAGAAATCAACATTGTTACTGCCTGGGAGATAGATTTATACATCTGACCCACTCTGATATTTCTGTGGGTAATATATATTGCCCATATAATTCTAAGTTGTAGAGGGATATGCACTCCCATGTGTTAATAAAAAACACATTTGCTAAGAAAATTAGCATATTGGTGTGAAAAGTAAACAAGTTGGGGTTACTTTTAAGGTGCTATTTAACTTGAAGATAGTCTCCAAACTTCTTATAGGTGAACAAATATATTCTAAAGCCGGAATGATGGTGATCAAATGAAAAAATAAAAAAATATAAGAAACACACTAATCTTCAAATAAGCTCAAACACTGATCTCTCATCTAAAAAATCCCAATGATTTTGAAGCAAGACTTATTTTACATTTAGGATCAGATTGCTGAGTTAAGCCTCTGGGACCAGGTGGCTAAAAATGTTTTTTCCATCCATCAAAGTTTGCTTAAAAAGTTGGATGGCTTGATGAAAGATTTGCCATCAATTACCTTCTGGCCAGCAATCAAAACAAGATTAGCCCAAGTGGAAATGAGTGTATATGAAAACTGAAAGGAGGAGGTAGTTGAAGGTGGGGTGGGGATGTGGAGGGGTGGTGGGAAAGAACCATCAAAGAGGTTATGCTGGAAAATGCGATTCCAGTGTACCAATTGTTACTAAGTGAATAATTATGAACAATTAACATTGCTGTGAACAGCCCCCCCAAAATATAGCAATAATGTCTGCTTTATTAAACCATCCAGGTAAGGCATTACTGGGGCATTTGAGAAAATGGAGGGGTGGGTGTCAGACTTTTTAAATCTGGGGACCATTTAAATCCTTTTAAGCAACCACCTTTCTTTACCTTCTGGCTTAAAAGGTGCTGTTTTTAAACTCATCTGAATATTCCTACACTTTGTCCAATCCTCCCTGTCTCCAAAGGAATAAATGGGTTAAGAAAAAGTATGTGCAGTTGAAATCACCCTGAAAAATGCCAGCAGGGACCCTTTTTGTCAGTTGTGAAAAACATGTTTCCGCCACACACACACACACACACACACACACAAAAAAAAAAGCCAAAGATAAATGCAGCCCAAACATGTCTCTCTAAGGCTGCTTCGTAAATCTCCCCATTTGTTTTGAGATCTGCACTTGATCCTTTTGCAAAGAAGAGTCCTCACTCCCAGCCCTGCATTTGCAGCCAGAGGAACAAGGGGGGGCAGTCACAGTCCACCTTCTCTGAGCACTGCGCATACCAATGAGTCCCCATCTAAATAAATTATCCAATGTTCAAATCGATATTAATACTATGTTTGCAACATTACAGTTTTGCACAAATTCAAGAGTCGTTTGGCCACAATGTAAATACTATTTCTCAAGCACCCGTGAGGCTAGAAATATTCATAAGATTCTTCCTCTCAACTAGAAATTCAGCAAGTCCGGCCCATGAAATCTTTTGTGTATTGCTTGGCTTCAGGTTTAAGTGGAAATTTAATAGTACTAAGGAACGCAAAAAGAATTTTTTTAAAAAACAGCACAACCATTCCCACAAACTTTCAATCCCACAGCAATTCTACTGAGGAGTAAATTCTAGTTGTCTTCAGTGGCATTTATCGTTTAGGAGAGGTGCTTGTGATTGTCCTGTGTAGAGTGCAAATTTAACTCACAGACAGCCATACCTTTTCAGGAAGACCCAAAGGCCATCTTGTGTATTTATCCATAAATCCATAAATATTTTGTTGATATATGGATCAACCGGGTTTGCAATAATAAAAAGATGCCTGAATTTTTACAGACTTCAACCAGAGCACTTCAAAGGTGAGGTTAATATCCTCTTTTGCAAAGTTAATTTGAGCCATCTATCATAAACAAAATTATGGACCAGTACATTACCCATCCCTGTTTCTAATTTAATTGGGTGGGGGGTGGGGGGCGTGTTGCAACTAATATGTTAGTATTGGTATAGAGTTGCCTTGTGCATTTCTATATATTTTTTTCTGCGAACCTGAGCTTGGAGGTGAGAAACTACAGAACTACAGAAATCTTTGGAGATGGAGGAAAAAGAGAATAAAAAACGGGGCTGGAACCTTGAGAAAAAGGCAAGAAAATATATCTGCAATTATTTGGGGGGGGAGCTTATCTCTCTCTCTCTCTCCCCCGCTTCTTTTTAGCAGGAAAGGAATGTGTGTGTGTGTGTGGGGACTTTTGGCCTTCAGGTCAATTTTTACCTGCTCCTCTGATCACAGCAATTGGAATTATGAATACTTTCCAGTAAAGGGGGAGGGGGAAACCACACAGCAACAAAGCAGTAATGTGGAGGATTTATTTGTCTCTCTGCCTTCCTATTCCACAAGCTCTGGTGAAAAATCTTGGCCATGGTTTTAAACCTCCTCCTCCTCCTCCTCCTCCTCCTCCTCTCTTTTCTCTCTTTCTTTTTCTCCCACATTTTAATTTACTCTCTGCTCAGAAGCCAAACTCCAGACAAGGCAGCCACAGCAAGCATCCCTTAAGCCTTCCCTTTGCCAAGTGCACTGCAGAATCTACAGTAGGAAGCTGCTGCCCCAGCCCAAGTCCACCAACTCGCGAGGCCTGTTCGCTAGGCCCAAGCGAGCTTTGGCTCTCACCAAATCGGGCAGGCAGGGAGCTACCTCTGCCTTTGGCCCAAATCTCCGGGGAAAGGGCGGGCAAGGGCCCCGCTTCGCCTCCTCCAGACTTCCTAGCCCAGCCCGGCCCACTGACCTGAGGTGAAGAGGACGATGGCTTTGAGGCAGCTGTATTCCGCCGAGTCCACGTGCAGGGCCTTGAGCTTCTCCACCTGCTCTTGGAAGATGCGGATGTGGTCCATGAAGGCCACCACGCGGTCGGCCGACATGGGCGAGGCGTGGAGGCCGGCAGCAGCCAGGAGCGGGGCCACGTGCAGCGGCATGGAGCACTGGGCGGCGTTGAGCACGAAGAGCTCACTCCAGGTGAGGCGCAGCAGGGCCACCTGGTCGGTGATCTGCAGGTCCGGGAAGAAGGGGATGTTGCGGGCCCACTCGACGGCGCTGAAGAGCAGCCGCGCCGCCAGCTCGCAGATGTTCTCGATGCCCATGATGTTGTTGGGCTGCATGCACTGGCTGCCGTAGCGTGACGTCGGGTAAGGCTCGGCTCGCAGCAGCAGCGAGATGTAGCCCGACAGGTAGCAGTGGCCGTTCAACGGGTCGCCGTTGGTCAGCGCGTACTGGCCCGGGTTCGGCTGGCTCGGAGGCATCCTTCCTCGCTGAACCGCTGACGAAAAGAGGGAGAGAGAGAGAAAAGGAGAGGAAATGTGCATCCGGCAGCCTGGGCAAACCCCAGCCCTCCAGACAGCCGTAGCCCCGCGCTAAGGCGAAAGCAGCAGCAGCAGCAGCAGCAGCAGCCAGCAGCCCAAGCTACGCGCGCGCCCGAGCGCGCACACACATACACTCACAAGCGCGCTCCTTCTGACATACACAAACACACACACACACACACAAATCCGAAGGTATGGGTATGGAGAATACGGCAGACCCACAGACACGCCGCCGCACACAATGTAAGGCGCCCTCCTCCCCTCCCGCAATCTTGCATTGTTGTGCAAATGGGGACGCCCAGATGCTCCTGCCAGGGAGGTTGCTTCCCCCCCCCCCCCCCCCGCAAGAAGAAGAAGATGGGGATGAGGGTGACAAGAACAAGAAAAAGAAGAAGAAGAAGGTGATACGGATAAAAGCATAAGCTTTTCAAAGCTGTCTCTGCCAACAGCTTAAAAAATAAATAAATCGGGTCCCACCTGCAAAATGTTCCCTCTTCGCCTTTCCAGAGAACAAGTGAGACATTCTGAGTCCCCTCAAGCCCAGTCGGTGCTCAAAGTTGTTGCGGTTGCAAAATACCATCCAGCCAAACCTTCCCTTGACTTGCCAGTCTGGAATCGCACAATAAGGCTACCGAACTGGGAAGGGAAGGGGGAGGCCGTGGGGGGGTGGTGGTGTCAGGGAGAGCTCTCCTTAGCCTTTGCAAGCTACTCTTGCCTAAACAACCAGGTCCCAGTCCCACTAAACACACACACACACACACACACACACAGAGGCAAACCTCTGCCCAATTTAAATGGAACACTCTGTGTTAAAAAGGATGAGGGGGGGGGGATTGTTACTGTTAAATGGAGATGGATTAAAACAAAATGTGAACTTACAGAAGCCAAACATGAGCGGCAAGGAAGGAAGGATAACAGTCTTTAACTGTAGGGTTCCAGAAAGCAGCAACTTGCTACGGCTTTGGCCAGTGAAGAGAAACATTTGCAACTGTGCAGCATGCACAACACATACATACATACATACACACACACACACACACGCCTGCACGTACTACTCGAATGCCATGGATTCATTCACTGTCCCAGATGTAAGCCTGTTTGGATTTATTTAAAGCTGAACAAAGTTTGTGTATGCGTGTAAGTGTGTAGGGCTACTAATCCCAGGCCAGAAAATTCTAACTTGAGATTTATAAATAAAGGTGACAAGGTGAAGAGAGGGCCTCTGGTGAATATTTTAACCCCTCCCCCAATTAATATTTTCTGTTTAATACTGTTACGTATTTTAATCATTTTCAATCAGGATATTTCTGTCTTGTTGTCAGAACCTCACTTCTATTTCTGTTACTATAGTTTAGATTCCCAGAGCTGCAGCTGTGCATTTCAAGCACAGTTCCAAGATAGTGGTGGATTTATCTCCTTCATATATATTTGTACTGCTTAATTTCTAGTTATGTTTCTTCAAGATGCCTTTCCTGACAAAAGCTGGCTGAAGCTACAAATGAAGTCATCAGTGGACAGTTTAAAAAAATATATACCCTTTTTGCTATGGCACGAGGGAGAAAGTATTTTAATATTTGTTTCAAATTTTCACTGCAGATAATGAATTATTTGATCTATTTGACACTTACGACATTTTTAATCAGAGCATGGGTACTAGCACATTTTGCAGTAAACCTGGATAAAGGAAAAAATAAAATAAAAAGTAGATGGAAACATATTATAAATAAAAGGCTTCTCCCTTTGGGGTGAGGGTGGGAGAACCTTCCTACCCCAATACTGGAACTATTTCTGTTTGTTTTCAAACATTGACCAGCACAATCCAGAAAGAAGCTATGCCTTATGGTAACAACAACAACAACAGCAGCAGCAGCAACAACAAACAGGGCAATCATTGACTTGGGGTGATTTGCAACTGGTAAGTAGTACTGTATTTAAGAGACAATGGGGTTTCATAGGAAATGAAATGAAGAGCAGGCAGAGGGACGGAGTGGTGAAATGACAAAATTAAAAAGAAAAAAAGAAAAGCATGTCCATAAACTTTCCTCCCAAAAGCAGGAGACGAAAAAAAAAGGAATCTCGGCAAAGGCCAGGTGTTGGAAAACGAGGAGTAGCTAGCAGGTGAGCAGAAAGAAGCCACACAAGCAGATCACAATTCACACACAGACAGCACGCACAGCCTTGAAACACCTTCGTTCGGGGAGGCGAGAAGTTTGACTCGGCTGAAGTTGGGATTCCCAGCCACCCCCCTTCCCATTTTAATAGGAATTAGAAATAGTGAAAAGAGGCAGGAGAAGCCAGCCAGTGGAAAGAAAGGGCTGCTTATTCGTCCCTTTCCTCCTTCCTCAGTTCCGAATTATTCTTGTTATTCTTTTAAAAAGGCTGAGGTGGGGAAGAGAGAGAGGGAGAAACAGAGGGCGAAGGGAGCAGCCGACTCACACGCTCGGCAGCCTTGGGTGCCTGCATTAATAATAGTAAGGGTACTAATAATAATCTGCGGATGGAGCGGGAAGCTGCGATGTGGGGGCGAAGGGGACGGGGGGTGGGGTGGCCAGCAGGTCTCCCCCTCCCCTCTCCAGGACCCGCTTCTCTACACCCCCCGCCTGGAGTAGAATAGGGAGGAAATCATATTCACCTTCCCTCCTCATGCCCACTTTGAGGCACTTCTTCAGGCGGCAGTATTGGCACTGGTTGCGGTGGTGCTGGTCGATGGGACAGTTCCGGTTGGCCCGGCAAGTGTACGTTAAGTTCCTGCGGACGCTCCGCTTGAAGAAACTTTTGCAGCCCTCGCAGGTAAACTGCCCGTAGTGCTTCCCGCTGGATTTGTCGCCGCACACCACGCACTCGATGTGCTGCTGCTGTTGCTGCTGGCTCTGGCCGGAGCCTTGCTGCTGCTGGCCCTTGTCGCCCGGCGTGGACGGGGCTCCCGGCTGGCTCGGCGTTTGCGGCGTGTGGGGGGCCGCCGAGGCCCCTTGCTGCGGATCCCGGCCCGGCTGAGCTGCTCCGGTGGGGCCGCCCCCGGCCACGTCCTCTTGCGCATCTCGCCAGCTGCTAACTACCATTGCCATATCTCGGGCCCGCGGAGGGAAAAAAAAACACGGGGGGGGGGTCCGCCGGGGAAAAGGCCGGG